CCGTCTCACTCGGTTCAGAGAGATAAGGAGGACCCGGCAATTGCTGAGCTGCGAGAGATGCAGCAGGCAGCCCAGGACAAGCAACAGCAGATGAACGAGCTGGAGGAGCAACAGGAACAAGACACCAAGCAAACGGAACAAGGTGTGTGAAGACACAAACAGACAGACAGACACACAGATGTGATTGTGTCTCTGTGCATCAGTCAATTCTGCGCGGGTCGACAGTCAGCAGAGGGCCGAGGAAGAGGAGGAGCAGCAAGAGTTTGAGCAAGCACACAAAGACGCACCGCTGCTCTCATCGTTCAGGCAGCGAAACGGTCCTCGCAAAGCAGCAAAGGGTGAGTCACCAAATGACACAGAGATACAGAACAATCGTCATGTGTGTGGATCTGATGATCCAGTTGACGTGACGAATGGCGCCATTAGCAACGAGCATGCCCCGCCTTCGCTCAAGTCGCAGATGGAACAAGAGGAACGGAAAGAGCAGGTCAAAGCTGTGCTCCAAGAGGTAAGACAGACAACTGGATGGAGCAATGGCATGTCCTTGCTGATTATCTGTGTGCTGTGTCGGTGTCAGGCTGAGGAGAGGGCTGCACAGGTAGAGCGAGCAGCGGTCAAGAACGAGGAAGATGAGGTGGAGAGTATCTCTGAGGAATCCCGCCAGCCTGAGAGACAGACAGCAGCAGCGGATGGACAGCAGGACGAGTACACCGAGGAAGACTGAGACAGCAATGTGCAAGAGATTGACATGTGTTGACAAATAAAGACCGACTCACCCACTCGTGAGAGTGTCCACACAAGCCTCGGTCTCGTACAACCAATGCAAACATTCATTCACATTTCCACCACGCAGCCGCAAACTAACGCCGGCAGACATATACATGGATGTGCCAGCTGGACAGTGCATTGACGAAAAAATTATCAAAAACCACGAGCTGGAAGAGAGGTCATATGTCGGCGACGGGAGCAGCACAGATAGGTGATTGATCTGTTGGTGTCTCGTGTCTCTCACTCACCTCTGGCTTAAGTTGGCTCTCTTGTGAGAGGGCCAGGGCCAGAGTCATGCATCAACCATCTCCTTCTCTTGCCTTCTACAGTACTCTCAACTTCTGCGTGCCTGCCTGCGTGTACGAGAAACTGAGTGACTTCTTGTCTCATCTTCCGCTGGATGATGTCATTTGGTTGAAAGGATGATGATCATGACGCACGGAGCATCGATCAATGTCAACAGTCGCTCAATGAGATACACGAAGGCACACGTGGGCATTGACTGGTCCATTGCATTCGTGAAGGCATGAATGTCTGCATCGTTGGGTGTCAAGCGAGTGCGAGCAGTCGGTCGGAAATTCAGCCGACGTACAGCCGCTGTGTGAAGCTGCTGATGGCGCGTCTGCACTTGGGGCAGCGTCCGCGGTGGACGTCCTTCTCCTCTTCGTCGCTGTCTGGCGTCATGGCGGCGTAGTGGGCAACCAATGTGTCCCGGCAGACCTCGCACAGGCACACATGACCTGAGCGAACCAATGAAAGAAGTAATCACACAAAGAAAGAAGCCGTGTGTCATTCCGTCCCTTTTCCCTCCCATCTCACCGCAGGGCAACACGGCGATGCACTTGTCTCTGTCCATACAAATGATGCACTTGGTCACTGCGTCGTACTCCTGCTGCCTCGCCTGTCGCTGCCTCTCGCCCTCAAGCCGCTCCAGCTCACCCAGACGCTCAAACGACGCAGCCATGGCCTCCTCCAGCCTGCGACGCTTCTCGATGAGGCGCTGCTGCACCGCCCGCTGCTCAGCCACAGTGTTCTTGCGGACACCTGCCGCAGTGAAGTCGGCCGTCAGCTCCTGGACCTTGCGGTCCAGCTGGTCGTTCTGCTCCATGAGTCCCTCCACCTCTGCCTCCATGGCAAGTACCTGCTGCTCCTTCTGCTGCTGGATGGTGGCCACCTGATGCTCGAGCGCTGCGATCTCGTCCTCCGCGGTCTGCTGCTCCAATGAGTGCTCGTACATGGTGGCCTCGTAGCTGTCCTTGATGTCCTGCAGCTGGGAGTACTGCAGTGATGCAGCCTGGTGGGCCAGGTTGGCCTCCTCCAGCTGACGGCTCGTCTGCTGATACGCCGCGATGAGTCCCTCGGACGGCTCGAGGAAGAGGCCATGGTCTTGTGTGGCGATGTTGTTGAAGAGGTTGATAGTGATGCCGTCGGGAAGGATGGCGCTGGTGGTGAGGCGATGGTTGGCGACGCTGCAATGTCTGACCGCCCAGCGAGAGAAGTCCTGAAAGACGCCACATGAGTCTGCAGTCGGACTCTGCATGGACAGACAGACAGACAGACAGACAGGAGCAGACAGACGCTTAGCTGAGAAGGTGAGGCGGCAAATCCATTTTTGGCAGGAAGAAGAGGAAAGGGGGGAAAGGGAAAGCAAGGGGTTGGAGCTTTAGATTGGCCTCCCCGCTTTTTCCCGCATCCTGGCCAAAGATCTGTTTACCCGTCCATTTCCGCCTCCCTTCGCATTAGTTCTCATTTTCCCTCCCTTCTCGCTCGACAATGCATTCCCTCTGCATTCTTTTCCTCCTCACCGCCATCCCCACC